GATATTACATAATAGATGCTGTACACACTACACTTCCTCGTCATAAAATTGTCAAACTTCTCAAACCCCAAATTAATATATAAATGCTGTGTGATGCCAAACGGAAATGTAGTGGGATTTTTCCTGGAACTGGATAAAATTATTTTAAGGTTCACATGAAAGAATTCACAGTTAAGGATAGTTAAGGAAAAGAAGAGTCATGAAGAAGAATGGTGGGAGGATGGCAATGCTTGACTTATTAATATTTACCACAAAAGTACTATGATAAAAATATGATGTTAGCATAGTAGTAGAGAAAGCCAATTAGTAAAATGCAATAGAAAGCCCAGAAATAATTCCAAGTACACATGGGAACTCAGTATTGACAAAAATGGCATTTCAAATCAGTGTAGAAAAAGAGGTTATTTAAAAAATGCTAGCCGAAACAGGCAGACTGTCAAATTACAGTGGAGAGGGGAGGAAGATCTGGGGGAGATAATAGATCAACCGAAGGACTTGTATACATGCATATAAGTACAACCAATGGACATAAAACTCTGGGGAGGGAGGGGATATGTGTGAAGGAGGGAGGGGGGTAAAAAAATATCAATAAAATATGTAAAAAAAAAATCAATAAAATATGAAAAAAAAAATAAATAAAAATAAAAAATGCTAGCCGAAACCGTGGTAGAGCGTCGGTCTGCAGACTGAGGGGTCCCAGGTTCGATTCCGGTCAAGGGCATGTATGTTGGCTGCAGGCACATCCCCGGTAGGGGGTGTGCCAGAGGCAGCTGGTTGATGTTTCTCATCGACATTTCTAGCTCTCTATGTCTCTCCCTTCCTCTCTGTAAAAAAATCAATAAAATATATTTTTTTAAAAATGCTGCTGCTCTGGCCAGTGTGGCTCGGTTGGTTGGATCGTCATCCTGTACAACAAAAGGCGGCAAATCCCATTCCCTGTCAGGGCACATACCCAGGTTGCAGGTTCAATCCCTGTTGAGGGCACGTGCAGGAAGCAACTGATTCATGTTTCTCTCTCATCTCTCCCTCTCTCTCTCTCTTAATAAATAAGTAACATGTATACATGATGCTGGCATAATTGACTAGAATTTTTAAAAAATCTATGTCTAGTTATCAGAATGTTGACAGCGTAGAGATTTACAAATCCTATCTAATAAAAGTAATATACAAATTGACTGGCACACCAAGTCACAAGATGGCTGCCCCCATGTGGTCAAAGATGGTTGCCCCCATATGAACACAAGATGGCCACAGCAAGATGGCCTACAGGGGAAGGCAGTTGTGGGCAGTTAGGGATGACCAGGCTAGCAGAGGAATGCAGTTGGGGGTGACCAGGCCAGCAAGGGAGGGTAGTTGGGAAAGAACAGGTCAGCAGGGGAGAGCAGTTGGGGAGGACAAGGACTGCAGGGGAGGGCAGTTGCGGGGAACCAGGCCTGCAGGATAGGGCAGTTGAGAGGGACGGGACCATGCCTGCAGAAAAGGGCAGTTGTGGGCGATCAGGCCAACAGGAAGGACAGTTAGGGGTGACGGGGCCAGCAGAGCAGGGCAGTTGGGAGAGACCAGGTCAGCAGCGGAAGGCAGTTGCAGGGGGACCAGGACTGCTGGGGAGGGCAGGGGAGAGCAGGGGAGAGCAGGACTGCTGGGGAGACCAGGACTGCTGGGGAGACCAGGTCAGCAGGGGAGAGCAGTTGTGGGCAATCAGGCTAGCAGGGAGGGCAGTTAGGGGTGACCAGGCCAGCAGAGAAGGATAGTTGGGGGGGGGGGCAGGTCAGCAGGGGAGGGCAGTTGGGGGAGATCAGACCTGTAGGGGAGGGTGGTTGGGGGGACCAGACCAGCAGGGGAGGGAAGTTTGTGGGGACCAGGCCTGCAGGGGAGGGCAGTTGGGAGCCAGTAGTCCTGGATTGTGAGAGGGATGTCCAACCTAAACGGGTGATCCAACATCCCTCAAGGGGTCCCAGATTGGAGAGGGTCCTGGCTGGGCTGAGGGACCCCCCCGCCCCATGCATGAATTTCACGCACCAGGACTCTAATAAAGAAAATAATAAGCATATTAGGAGATATAGGGGAAAGTGTTCCAAATTAAGAGGAGAATCTTAGAAATCATAAAGAAATAGGTATCCTATATAATACAACCCTAATGTGCAAAGTGACCAAATGGTGGAAAGACCCTATGATGCACACTGACCACCAGGGGGCAGACACTCAGCACAGGAGCTGCCCCCTGGTGGTCAGTGTGCTCCCACAGGGGAAGCACCTCTCGGCCAGAAGCCAGGCTCACAGCTGGCGAGCGAAGCCGTGGTGGTGGTGGCTCTCCTGCCTCTGCGGCAGCTCTAAGGAGCAGCTTGCAGGTGGGTGGTAAGGAGTAAGGGGTCCCAGACTGTGAGAAGGCACAGGTCAGGCTGAGGGACTGCCACCCCCCCTGAGCCCCCTCCCCCGCCCGAATTTGGGGCACTGGTCCTCTAGTATTATCTAATAAAGAGAGAATATGCTAATTGACTTATCTAATAAAGAGAGAATATGCTAATTGACCATCACTCTATCACAAAGATGGCTGCACCCACAGGTGAGGCCAAGTTCCCATAAGGAGCCTTAACGAGCAATCAGCAGGGACCTGAGGCTATGCCCTCCCCTGCCCCCGTGGGGCCTGACAGGGGACCTCAGGCCATGCCCCCCACCCTGGCATCAGGCTGGGGGACCTCAGACTGTACCCCACGCCCCAGTGCCTGGCCAGGGGACCTGAGGCCCCACCCAGCAGGGCTTGATGGGGGACCTCAAGGTGCGCTTTCCATCCTGGTGCTGGCCTAGGGGACCTCAGCTGCTCCCGTGTCCCAGCGCCAGGATGGGGGACCTCAGGCCACACACCCCCACAGGTGGAGCTTGACAGGGGATCTCAGGCCTTGCCCCACACCCAGCAGGGCTTGATGGGGGATTTTAAGGTGCACCCCCAGTGTTGAGTCGGGGGAACTCAGGCCACGCCCCTGCCCAGTGGGGCTTGACAGGGGACCTGAGACTGCACCCCCCTCCTGGTGCTGGGCCAAGGACCTGAGGCTGTGCTCCTCACCTGGCAGAGCTTGACGGGGGACCTCAGGCCAGTGGGGCTTGACAGGGGATCTCAGGCTATATCCCCCACCTGGCAGGGCTTGATGGAGGACCTCAAGGCACATCCCCACCCCAGTCTGGGCTGGGGGACCTCAAGTCATGCCTCCCATCCTGGAGCTGGGCTAGGGGACCTGAGGCTGTGCCCCATGCCTGGCCAGGCTTGACAAGGGTGGGACCAGCTGGGTCTGGATCTAGCCCAATGAGGGGCGGGCCAGCCAGGTCTGGGTCTCACATAATTTTGAGGTGCATGTGGGTGAGCGGGGACTTGACTCTTTGGGTCCCGTGGTGAGACCCAGACTCTGACAGGAGGAAGGTTTTCATATACGTTTTGCTAATTTTCTTTTATTTCTGACACTTCTATTATAGAGAAAGGGCAAATAGAAATATTAAATTATTTCCTCTAATTAATCCCCTTTTAATGTGTATGAATTTTGTGCACTGGGTCAGTAGTATATGTATAAGACTGCATCTACATTTTAATTTTCTTAAAAAATATATTTTTATTGATTTCAGAGAGGAAGGGAAAAGGAGAGATAGAAACATCAATGAGAGAATCATGGATTGGCTGCCTCCTGCATGCCTCCTACTGGGGATCAAACTCAAAACCCGATGCCGGGACCGGTTTGGCTCAGTGGATAGAGCATCAGCCTGCGGACTGAAAGGTCCCGGGTTCGATTCTGGTCAAGGGCATGTACCTTGGTTGTGGGCACATCCCCAGTAGGGGGTGTGCAAGAGGCAGCTGATCGATGATTCTCTCTCATTGATGTTTCTAACTCTCTATCCCTCTCTCTTCCTCTCTGTGAAAAATCAATAAAATATATTTAAAAAAAACAAACAAAAAAAAAAAAAACCCGAGCATGTGCCCTGACTAGGAATTGAACTGTGACCTCCTGGTTCATAGGTGGATGCTCAACCACTGAGCCACACCAGCAGGGCTTAATTTTTGATAGGACAAAAAAGATACCATAACCAAAACCATTAAACAAAAACATTTGCAATTCATCTAATTGAAAGAAGATTCCTTTTTAAAAAATGTATTTTTATTGATTTCAGAGAGGAAAGATAGGGAGAGAGAGATAGAAACATCAATGATGAGAGAGAATCTACAGACAAATGAACCAGGAGGTCATGGTTCAATTCCTGGTCAGGCCAATTTGAGGTTGTGAGCTTAATCCTCAGTAGGGGGTATGCAGGAGGCAGTCGATCAACGATTCCCTCTAATCACTAATGCTTCTATCTCTCCCTCTCCCTTCCTCTCTGAAATCAATAAAAACAAATTTAAAAAATAAATACAACTGCCATTATTATAATCACATTGCTACATTTACATATTATAATTAAAACATATCTATAGCTCTATTGTTATATGGCATTGTATAATTATATATTACTAGATTATATGCTACAACAATAAATATAATTATTGTTACTAGAACTAATATTTTAAAAAATATTTTTTATTGATTTTTTTACAGAGAGGAAGGGAGAGGGACAGAGAGAGACATCAATGAGAAACATCAATCAGCTGCCTCCTGCACACCCCCCCCCACTGGGGATGTGCCCACAACCAAGGTGCATGCCCTTACTGGGAATCGAACCCGGGACACTTCAGTCTGCAGGCCGAGGCTCACACCGGTTTCGGAGAACTAATACTTTTTGAGCATTTACTATGTAACAATGCAGGCGTTTTACATGAATTCCCTGTTTAATCCTTTCAATAGCCTTAAGACACCGTTATCTCTACAGGTAAATGAACTGAGGCCCAGTGGCCAACCCAGAACTTGGAATGAGGCTCCCTCGCTCCCTAGCCCACTGTGAGGGAGTGTATTGCCAGGGTGGCATCATCCTACAGGGACAGGGTGGGTCCCAGAGCAGTGCCCCCCACGACACTGGGTACTCACTGTCCTCAGTGGGCCGAATATCCACACGCAGCTGCAGGTAAGGCTTGGAGGCAGTGGCGAAGGCTGTGCTGAGGTCCCAGTCAGACAGGAGCGAGAGGTAAGCTTCCTGCCCCAGCCGGTCCCGGCCCAGGTAGCTGATGCCAAAGTTCTTCTTCCTGGACATGGGAGGTGGGCAGCGCTCAGGGCCCCGGAGGCTCGGGGACAGTTCCCAAAAGGACCAGGGGAAGGTAAACGGTGTGGACGACAACTTTCTACTATGAGCTAGGTACTGTGCTAAGGACGGAGGGCAGATCCCTCATCTCTACTTGGTTACGCTAACACAGAAACACACACATACACACACACCTGCTTGTGTCTGGAGGACACACTGGAAACTGGTAAAATGTTGGTACCCTCTAGGGAGGGCAACAGGGTAGTTGAAGGGTAGAAGTGGAAAGAAAGCAGCCTTCTTACTGCATAAGAAAAGCAATCTGTGTGATTGTCATTTTTCACAACAAAAGAGGTTTACGAAAAAAAAGTCAAATAACAACTAGGAACTGGTTCTCAGGTACATTTGTGTAACTATGCAAAGAAGTATGTTGTGTGCCGACTACTGTAACCATGACAACATCCTAAATACCCATTACGTTGGTACTCTTTGAGTTTGTTACCTTGTGCTTGTATTCCTCCAAAATAGCCCCCAAAACAAAAGAACCATAACACCTGCTCCCAACAGACCCCGATTTCCATCTATCAGGTTGGCAAAATTTCCAGTATTTTATAATAACCGTGTTTGTGAAGGCGTGAGGGAAACAGGCATTTTATACACTGAGTGGCCAGATGATGATGATTTCTGAACGCCTAATAATCTGGCCACTCAGTGTATATCCTACAGAATAAAGAACTAATATGCAAATTGTCCCCTCCACCATGAGTTCAACCAGGAGGCAGGCTGGCCAACTGCCCATGTCCCCTCCCCCTGGCCAGGCTGGCCAGACCACACCCATGCACGAATTCATGCACTGGGCCTCTAATATATATACTGAGTGGCCAGGTTAGTATGCGTTCAGAGATCATCATAATCTGGCCACTCAGTGTATACTGCTGCTGAGACTGTAAATTGGTAAAACCTGTCCAGAGAGCATTTTGGAACCACCCATTGAAAATTTAAAAAGCAGACACCCTTGAATCCAGCAACACCAGTGCTAGGTGGCTGTTCACGGTGGGGTTATTTATAATAAATCAAACAACGACAATGGAAAGGCCAATCAGTCACTGTTGAGATGGGTAGCCCAATGGTCAGTCACCAGCATCCCCTTACTCACCCATTCAAGTCAAATGCTCGGATGAGGATGTGCTGCAACACATCGAGTGAGGTGATCTGAGGGTCAACAGCAAAAGAGCGGAACTCAGGTGGCAAGAAGCTCTCACATTTCTGGGGAGAGAAGACCAGGGAGGCCATCAGGGGTTATGTCACCACGCTGAAGCAGAGGGAGCAGCAGGAAACAAGGTCAGAGGAGTGGTGGGGGCCAGATCAAGGTGGGCATTCTGAATGATGGCGAAGACTGTTGTTTTTTAAAATATATATATTTTATTGATTTTTTTTTTTTTTTTTACAGAGAGGAAGGGAGAGGGATAGAGAGCTAGAAACATTGATGAGAGAGAAACATCGACCAGCTGCCTCCTGCACACCCCCTACTGGAGATGTGCCTGCAACCAAGGTACAATGCCCTTGACTGGAATCGAACCTGAGACCTTTCAGTCCGCAGGCCGATGCTCTATCCACCGAGCCAAACCAGCCAGGGCAAGACTTTGGTTTTTGCTCTGAGTGAGGCATAGCATTGGGAGGGTTCTGAGCAGAGGTGTGAATGTGGTCTGACTTAAGGTCTGATTTACAGGATCCTTCTGGCTTCTCTGCTTGGGACACTGTGGGGTGCAAGGGAGAAAGCAGCAGTTGAGTGAGGAGGAGGCTACTGCAATGGTCCAGACACCCAATCTGTCTTCTGTATTCCCTCAACGATGACGGTTGTCAGGATAACCATGTCGTCTGGCCTCTATTAAATTCGTCCTCCATGCTGAGACCAATCTAGCACATCGAGCTACAACACGCCCCTGCTTAAATATCTTTTTTAAAGAAAATATTTTTATTGATTTCAGAGAGCAAAGGAGAAGGAAAGAGGGAGAGAGAAACAATGATGGGAGAGAAGCATTTGATCACTTGTCTCCTGTACACCCCCAACTGGGGACTGATCCCAAAAACCGGGCATGTGCCCTTGACCAGAATCAAACCTGGGACCCTTCAGTCCACAGGCCAACACTCTATCCACTGATCCAAAAGGCTAGAGCTTAAATATCATTAAAAGGGTCCAATAGGACCGCAGCCAGTCTCTCTCCATCAGCTATTTAAAAATATATATTTTAGCCGAGACCGGTTTGGCTCAATGGATAGAGCGTCGGCTTGGGGACTGAAGGGTCCCAGGTTCGATTCCGGTCAAGGGCATGTACCTTGGTTGCGGGCACATCCCCAGTAGGGGGTGTGCAGGAGGCAGCTGATCGATGACTCTCTCTCATCGATGTTTCTAACTCTCTATCTCTCTCCCTTCCTCTCTGTACAAAATCAATAAAGTATATATTAAAAAAAATAAAAATAAAAATATATATTTTATTGAGTTTTTACAGAGAGTAAGGAGAGGGATAGAGAGTTAGAAACATTGATAAGAGAAAAACATGGATCAGCTGCCTCCTGCACACTCCCTACTGGGGATGTGCCCACAACCAAGATACATGCCCTTCACCGGAATCAAAGGACCCTTCAGCCCGCAGGCTGATGCTCTATCCACTGAGCCACACCGGTTAGGGCCCATCAGCTATTTTGTGGTGTTTTGTTTTGTTTTCAATCCTCACCTGAGGATATTTTCCATTTATTTTTAGGGAGTGGAAGAGAGAGGGAACAAAGAGAAATATCAGTGTGAGAGAAACACTTTGATCGGTTGCTTCCTGCACATACCCTGACCAGGGCCTGGGTGGGGGAGGACCTTGCAACCCAACAGAGGAATATGTCCTAGACCAGAATCGAACCAGGGACCCTTCGGTCAGGTCTGCAAGACACGCTATCCATCAAGTCAAACTGGCTGGGGCCCATCAGCTTTTTTGAACTTGACACTTGTACTGCCAAATTGCTGTAAGTTGACTTCTCTCCAGAACCTACCCTCTTCCCAGTACCACCAGCGCCACAACCTTAGTCTGAGCCACTATCATGCTTACTGGGACTAGTCCAGTGGTTGGCAAACTGCGGCTCGCGAGCCACATGGGGCTCTTTGGCCCTTGAGTGCGGCTCTTCCACAAAATACCACGGCCTGGGCAAGTCTATGTTGAAGAAGCGGCATTAGAAGTTGAAGTTTAAGAAATGTGGCTCCCAACTGAAACCGGTTTGGCTCAGTGGATAGAGCTTCGGCCTGCGGACTCAAGGGTCCCGGGTTCGATTCCGGTCAGGGGCATGTACCCTGGTTGCGGGCACATCCCTGGTAGGGGGTGTGTGGAAGGCAGCTGATCGATGTTTCTCTCTCATCGATGTTTCTGACTTTCTATCCCTCTCCCTTCCTCTCTGTAAAAAATCGATAAAATATATTTAAAAAAAGAAAAGAAACGTGGCTCCCGAAAGAAATGTCACTCGTTGTACTGTTGATATGTGGCTCTGGTGACTAATGAGTTTGCCGACCACTGGCCTAGTGCAACAGCTTTCTTACTCAGAGCACACTTCAAAGGCCCTTCACCATCTGCCCCTCACCCCTCTGATTCACCTTCATCCACTTCCCCTCCCTCCCGCCAGGGCTCCAGGAATATGGGAACCTAAGGGCACAGGCCAAGTTCACCCCTCCACCCCCCACCAGCCTTTGCTTTTGCTGTTCTCGGCCTAAAACACTCATCCCCACCCCCACCCCCACCAGTGTCTGCTCCTTCAATGCCTTCCTGGGGACTCCCCTGTGCAGCCTGCGCTAAAGTGACCCCTGGCTGAGAACCTTCTCCAGTATCTCCGCATGACATTCACCAGCGCCCGAAGCATCTCATTTATTTGGCTGTTTGTCTCCCTCACCCGGTGGGCACCTGCACATAAGTGCGCTCTCAACACATATGTTCCCTGGCCTAGGCGCCTCCTTTTCAGACAGCAGCCCCCCACCCATCCTCAGGGACCCACTCCTTAAGTAAGGCCCCCTCCTCCATCCCTGCCGCCCCTCTTCCCCCCAGAACCCCAGCCTTCCAGCCCGGGACCCGCATTCCCACGTCCTGCCCACTCCACCCCTGTCACTGTCACCAGGCAGGCCCTCCAGCCTCGCCCCTCCGGTGACACCCCAATCTCAGGGGCCGCCCTCCATCCTAGGCCAGCCACTGCCCCCTCCTCCCCTGGGAGCCCTCGGGCCGGCTGGTGGAGCGGCAGCCGACCTCACCTTGACTCGGACCCGTACCACTTCTCGCTCCTCCTCCTCAGCTGCAGCCGCTTGGACTCCCCCGCCAGGCGGGGGCGCCCCGGAGCCGGCCAAATCCGAGGACCCAGTGGCCGTCGCCATCCCGCCGCCGCCACCCGCCCGAGGGTGACGGGTGACGGTTACCCCCCCGACCCCGGCGCGCACTCCAGATTGCAGGCGCCCGCAGCCCCACCTTGCGCCGGGGCGCAGGCGCAGAGGGCGCTGCGCGACCCTAGCAACCCCCAAACCTGAGCGTGGAGGTGGCTTCTGCGCGTGCGCAAAGAGTGCCATTGCCAGGAGCCCCGCCCCACAACGCCGCGTGTTTTGCTTCACGTCAGCCAGCGCGCAGGCGCCGACTTAAGTCCCACCTCTCCTCGCCCGTAATTGGGTGGTTTGGAGAGTTTACTTCCGGATTCACCTCGTTCGTGGTAAAGTGCTGACCTATTCCAGCGAGGGGAGTGGGCGGGGAAAGGAAGCGGCTGCGCGATGACGTCAGGGCCCCCCCATCGCCTGCTGCAAGTGGCCTTGTGCCTCTGCTTACAGGTGATGTCATCTATTTCAGAGGCTAGGGCCCTCTTCAAAGGATTCCGCCGAACAGAAAAATTGCCCTTTTTCTCGAACCTTTTCAAAAAATAGTTTACAAGTCGTGAAAGTTAATGGAGCCATACATTTTAAATGTTTGTGATTTTGTTCACGTGTTACGCTTAAATAATTTTCTAGAAAAGCCATTTTCACGCGGAGATCCTAGCTTTTATTTATTTTTATAATTTTAAAAATATACATTTTTATTGATTTTTTTTTTACAGAGAGGAAGGGAGAGGAAGAGAGTTAGAAGCATCTATGAGAGAGAAACATTGATCAGCTGCCTCTTGCACACCCCCTACTGGGGATGTGCCCACAACCAAGGTACATGCCCTTGATTGGAATCGAACCTGGGACCCTTACTCTATCCACTGAACCAAACCGGTTAGGGCGAGTTCCTAGTTTTTTAAAGTTTGCCTTCGTTTTATTTAATCCTTGAGGACAACATGTTGAGGTGAATCCTGTTATTAAATGGTGTGCCCACTAAATATTGGCTGAATGATCGAATATATCTTAGATTCCTCTGAGAAACATTATGTATGGAAAAATGCACAAACACATTCTCCTTACTAGTACTTTACTGCACAATATTCATATGGTTTGGACAAAACACAGACTGCTCTTGCAAATGAAATTTTTTGGGGTATTTTGTATTTTTTTTTTCTTTTTCTTAAAATGTAATTTCTAACAGCCGAAACCGGTTTGGCTCAGTGGTAGAGCCTGCGGACTGAAAGGTCCCAGGTTCGATTCCGGGCAAGGGCATGTACCTGGGTTGCAGGCACATCCCCAGTAGGGGGTGTGCAAGAGGCAGCTGGTCGATGTTTCTCTCTCATCGACGTTTCTAGCTCTCTATCCCTCTCTCCCTTCCTCTCTGTAAAAAATCAATAAAATATATTTTTAAAAAAATGTAATTTCTAACAAAGGAATCCTGTAAGATGCCTGGACTTCGGCTATTGTTGCAGTATTATGTGGATGATACCCTTAACATCAACTTTTTAAAGAAGACTGCAGTTCTGTTCTGGTATCTTTTAAAATAATTTGTTGCTTAGGTATTATACTAATATTAAATTGACATCTATTTTCTGGAATCTATATGTATAAAAGCCTAAGTGACTGAACAACCGGTTGACCGGTTGCTATGATGTGCATTGACCACCAGGGGGCCAGTGTGCTCCCACAGCGGCAGCGCCACTCAGCTGACTGTCGGGCACCAGATGCAGGGCTCACAGCTGGCCACCACTGCCTGGAGACCGCAGCAGAGCAGCAGCGAGCCTACTGAGCGGTGCAGTAGCAGGTGCAGCGGGGCCCAGATGAGCAGGAGTGGCAGGCAGGAGGGCAGGTGATGTTGGACTGCTGGTTTCAGCCCGATCCTCACAGGCTATGCCAAGGAACCCACCCATACACAAATCCATGCACTGGGCTTTTAGTGTATAAATAATGATTTTAAAAATATATATTTTATTGATTTTTTACAGAGAGGAAGGGAGAGAAATAGAGAGCTAGAAACATCAATGAGAGAGAGACATCGAACAGCTGCTTCCTGTACACCTCCTACTGGAGATGTGCCCACAACCAAGGTACATGCCCTTGACTGGAATCGAACCCGAGACTTTTCAGTCCCCCAGGCCGACGCTCTATCCACTGAGCCAAACTGATTTTGGCTGATTTACTCTTTCATTCAACAAATAGAAATTGTATGCCAGAGAGTCTACATATATTGATTCATTTGATCGGCATAAAACCCTATGAGGTAGTCACTATTATTACAAGCATTTTACAGATTGAAGGTCAGAAAGAAACATGCTCAAGGTCAAAGTGATACAGAGTGCAATGGATGGAAGGTGGAGCTGTGCCTGGCGTGTTTGAGGAAAAGCAAGAAGGCCAGGAGGCCTTAAGTCAGTGTTTCCCAAAGTGTGGTACGTGTACCCCCAGGGGTACAGGAAGAGTTTGGTGGGGGTACACATTGCACCGGAGTTTGGTGGGGATATGCACTGCACCATGCTTAGCTGCACCTAATTCTACGTTCTCATGAGTACGAGGGGTACTCAGCGTTATGAAAATTATAGAAGGGGTACACATATGTCAAAAGTTTGGGAAACACTGCACTTAAGTAATGAGGTAAGTGATGGATATGAGGTGAGGAAGTAACTCATAGCTTTGACCTTACAAATGAGGCATTTCTCAAAAGTTATACTGTAAGCTCAAGCAGAACCAAGATTGGAACTGAAGTCCTGCTCTGCACAGTCACCTGGAACCAGTCTACAGGTATCTGTAATTTTATTATTCATGTCACCTCCTCTAAATTCGTCAAGTTCCCATTTCATTCATATATATATATATATATATATATATATATATATATATATATATATTTCAATATATTTCAGAGAGAGAGGGAAAGATAGAAACATAAATGATGAGAGAGAATCAATTGGCTGGCAACTGCATTCCCCCTACTAGGGATTGAGCCCGCAACCTGGGCATGTGCCCTTGACCAGAATCGAACCAAGGACCCTTCAGGCTGATGCTCTATCCACTGACCCAAACCAGCTTGGGCAAGTACCCATGGTTTTATGATTGAAGGTCTATGAGGTTAATGACAGAGACTGTGAGATGAATGATGATGAATTCTTCAAGGTGAGTTATGGGGATTTTTTTTAATATTATACTATATAATAGTTAATATGCAAATTGACTGTCACTTTAAACACAAGATGGTCGCCCCCATGTGGTCAAAGATGGCCACCACAAGATGGCCAGCAGGGGAGGTCAACTGTGGGCGATCAGGCCAGCAGGGAAGGGCAGTTGGGGACCAGGCCAGCAAGGGAGGGCAGTTAGGGGCAACAGGGACTACAGGGGAGGGCAGTTGGGGTCGACTGGACAGGCAAAGGAGGGCAGTTGGGGGGGATTGGGCTGGCAGGGGAGTGGTTAGAGGGCGATCAGGCTGGCAGGCAAGTGAGCAGTTGGGAGCCAGCAATCTTGGATTGTGAGGATCCCAGACTGGAGAGGGTATAGGCTGGGCTGAGGGACATTCCGCCCCCAGTGCACAAATTTATATATAATATATAATAAACATATATTAGTTATTTAATATATGTTTATAGATTTCAGAGAAGGGAGTGGGAAAGATAGAAACATCAGCGATTAGAGAGAATCATTGATTGGCTGCCTCCTGCACACCACACACTGGGGATCGAGCCCGCAACCCAGGCATGTCCTTGGTAGGAATCGAACCCGGGTCTCTTCAGTCCACAGGCTGACACTCTATCCACTGAGCCAAACCACCTAGGGCAGTTATGGGGATTTTAAAGAGTGGGTGATGGGACCTAACCAGTTTGGCTCAGTGGATAGAGCATCAGCCTGCAGACTGAAGGGTCCCAGGTTCGATTCCGGTCAAGGGCACGTACCTTGGTTGCGGGCACATCGATCAGCTGTCCCCCTCTCTTCGATGTTTCTAGCTAGCTCTCTATCCTTCTCCCTTCCTCTCTAAAAAATCAATAAAATATATATATTAAAAAAAAAAGAGTGGGTGATGGGGCATCTGTAGAGTGAGTGATGAAAGGCCAATAGGGTAAATGATAGGGTTCTGTGTGATATATGATGAGGGGGATCTATAGGATGAGTCATGGGGTTTCTGGGTACATGATGAGAGGTCTGTTGGGGCAAGTGATAGGTCCATGGTGTGATAGAGGTCTGTGAGTGATAAGAGATCAGTCTATAGGGTAAATGAAAGGCTGTTGTGGGACCCTGACTGGTCTGGTCAGTTGGCCTGTGGACTGAAGGGTCCCAGGTTCGATTCCGATCAAGGGCATGTACCTTGGTTGCAGGCGCATCCCCAATAGGGGGTGTGCAAGAGGCAGCTGATTGATGTCTCTCTCTCTCATTGGTTTCTAACTCTCTATCCCTCTCCCTTCCTGTCTGTAAAAAATCAATAAAATATTTATATAAAAAAAGAAAGGCTGTTGTGGGGAGAGTGATAGGTGCCTTAAGGGGTGATGATAGGGTAGATAGGGTAAGTGGTGGGAGGGTCTGTGGGGTTGTTTTGTGGGGTCACGGGTAAATGATGCGGATCTTTAGAGTAGTGATGGGTGTCTGTGGGGTCAGTGTTGGGTTTCTGGAGTACGTGGGGGGGGGATCTGTGAGTTGAGTGATGGGGTTTCTTTGGGGTGCTTAATCAGGAGACACGAGGCTGAGTAAATTGAAGAACTTGAAGATTTGGGAAATCCTCAGCTTATCCCTATTGCAAACAATGAGCAAGCGTGTTCTGGAGAGAACATCAAGGATGTGGGTTCTCTCCTTATAAGAGATTGCAGGTGTGTGACTCATGAATCTCATCAGCCACCATGGGACTTTCTGGAGTTAGTAATGGGGGTCTGTGACGTCTACACGACTGAAGGTCTGTGTGACGGGGATGGGAATCTATGGCTGAGATAATGGTGTCCGTGGAATGAGTGAGTGAGAGGTGTCTTTGGGGTCAGTAATTCAAGATCTTTCAGTGTTGGGGTCACGACCTTTTATTTCCTTGTTTCAAAAATTACCACCACTGCAGACCTTGTAGGTTCTCTTGGACTTTTGTCCCAACAGCATTTTGCAATAGCCCCACCCAGCTCCTTTCTTCCCCATGGCTGGCCCTTTTGGTGCCCGCCCATCATCCTGAGCTTGACAGATCAATTCACTTTTTTATTCCCACCTGTGGGAGCAAGGAACAGGCTCCCCTGGCAGATGGAGAGTTGTCATCAGCCCGTGGGGAAGCCCAGTCCATCACGCATTACTTCTGCTTGCTCTTCATTTTGGTGGCTTTGACATCCACCATGCTCTGGGCGTGCATGAGCTGCTGCACAGAATCGAGCACGAGGATTCCAGGCAGCAGCATCCACAGGGCATTCAGGAAGACAAAGTAGAACCAGAAGTAGAGGGGGTGGCCCAGCTCGCTGTGCTGGAATCCGTCACGGTACTCGGTCAGGAAGTAGAGCACATCCCCGTATATCTGGCCTGTGGGAGGCGGAAGGGAGAGGTGAGGAGGAGGAGCCATTGCAAGGCATTTTCCAAGTCATCGTTTGAGGTCTCGGTCCTTAGGACTCCCAAATCCAGAGAGCTAAACACTCTGAAATCATAGAGCTAAAAAGTTGAGAAATCAGAAAAGTGAGAATTCCAGAAATTGGAAGTTGAGAATTTCAGAACCCAGGAGAGCTCATATCGCCAGAAGGTTAGGAAGCTCAAAGTCCTTCCATTCAAGACAGCTGAGGATTCCAGGACTAAAGATAACCCGCATTTCTTGGGCTAAAGAAAGCTATTAACATAAGAACACTGGATCTTAGATGAAAGAGCTGGAAATCCTAAGCCTTCAGGAAGGACCCAAGAACTTTCTGCCAGCGTGGGCCACCTCATGTGACCTTCACAGGAGACTGTTTTTTAAAAAAAATTTTTTATTGATTTTTTACAGAGAGGAAGAGAGAGGGACAGAGAGTTAGAAACATCGATGAGGGAGAATCATCGATCAGCTGCCTCTTGCACACCCCCTACTGGGGATGTGCCCGCAACCAAGGTGCATGCTCTTGACCGGAATCGAACCTGGGACCCTTCAGTCCACAGGCTGACGCTCTATCCACTGAGCCAAACCGGTTTCGGCTTAAAAAACATTTAAAAAAAACATATTTTTATTGATTTCAGAGAGGAAGGGAGAGGGGGAGAGAGACAGAAACATCAATGATGAGAGAGAATCATTGATCAGCTGCTTCCTGTATGACCCACACTAGGGATCTAGCCTGCAACCCCGGCATGTGCCCTGACCGGGAATCAAATCGTGACCATCTTCGCAGGAGACTTTGTGATGGAGGAGGAAGAGAAATGAACATGTCCCAGTTGAGAACACAGGCTGAGAGGGGCATAGCTGTTCTAGAACCTCAGGGAATTTATCATTTGATCCGACTCAGCCCTAGGAGGGCACAATTGAGAGATCCTACCCACACGGACGCCCCCATATCCTCGCGTCCCTGATAATCCCTCCAGGTTCAATTTCGGGCCCTCTTCTCACCCACAGAGATCACAAGCTGTAGGATAAAGCGGGCAGGATGCTGGCGGAGAAAGGCAACCACCGCGCAAATGCTGAGCGGTCCCCACAGGAAAGCCGTGATAGTCTCCATGCATATCATGAAGTTGTCATTCCTGCAGGAGAAAGGGTGCGGCGACGCTGGGATTACTGTGCTCGAAGCTCAGGGAAGCCCGTTAGTGCTCCCTGACTCACCACCACCCCCCAAAACCCATTCAGGTCTCCCTTGACAGAGGCAGACACTTACAGGATGTAACGGCTGTCTCCCTTGGAATACTCTTTCCCTGCAGAAGACAAGAGACACACGTGATGAATAAAGGCAGGAAAAGAAACTCGCACGTGGGAGAGCGGAGGGCCCATGGAGTAAGGCAGGCTTCATAACCTCTCCCTGCCTCCGACTCCAACTCTGCAATGAGGAGTTTAGAGTTAATATATGTATGCAAGACATGTGGGCAAACCTGACATGGAACAGTAAGTACTGCTGTGATTGTCTGGCATTCCATAAATATCTGTAGAATAATGGAGGCAGATATAGATGATGAAGTGAATGATGTAGCCAATGAGAGAGAGAGAGAGAGAGAGAGAGAGAGAGAGAGAGAGAGAGAGAGAGAGGAAGAAGAAGAAGAAGAAGAAGAAGAAGAAGAAGGAGGAGGAGGAGGAGGAGGAGGAGGAGGAGGAGGAGGAGGAGGAGGAGGAGGAGGAGGAGGAGGAGGAGGAGGAAGAGGAGGAGGAGGAGGAAGGGAGAGGAGAGAGAGAAAGGGAAAGAGGGAGGGAGGGAAGGAGGAAGGGACGGAGAAAGAGAAAGTGAACAGATGAATGAATGAAAACACAAGCAGAGAATCAATAAAAAAAGGCAGATCACATGACATAAAAACAGGCAGGAGACTGGAGTAGGTTCTTCATCAAAGAGGATTTCCAATACACCAATGAAAAGCGCTCAGACTTACATTTATCATTAAGTAAAAGCAAATCAAAACCCCAGAATGAGAGAGTACTCACATCCACTAGAAGGTCTACAATTTAAGAAACACCCGACCATACCAAGTGAAGATGTATATACTGCTGGTGGGAATATAAAATGATGCAGCAGTTTTTCATAAAGTTAAACACATATCTACCATACATCCTAGCCACTCCTCCATATTTACCTGAGAGAAATGAAAGCAGAGCCCCACACAAAGATTCTTATAACAATGTTCATAGCCGTTTTAATCATGAGACCAAAAGGAGTATTATTTATAACAGCAAAATAGTGGAGGAAATGATCATTAATACTAGACAAGCCAAGCCTGGCTGGTGTGGCTCAGTGGTTGAGCATGGACCTATGAACCTGGAGGTCACAGTTCGATTCCTGGTCAGGGCATATGCCTGGGTTGCGGGCTCCATCCCAGTGCAGGATGTGCAGGAGGCAGTCAATCCATGATTCTCTCTCATGATTTATTTTTTTTTTCTCTCTCTCTCCCCCTTCCTCTCTGAAATTAATAAAAATATATTTTAAAAATACTGGACAAGTCAAATAATTATGTAACATTTAAGCTTTGAAAGCTCTTTAAGAGCTGATGAGGAGTGACCTGATTAAAAAAAGCAAAGTTTAGCCAGAATCGGTTTGGCTCAGGATAGAGCATCGGCCTGTGGACTGAAAGGTCCCAGGTTCGATTCCGGTCAGGGGCATGTACATTGGTTGCGGGCACATTCCTGGTGTGGGGTGTGCAGGAGGCAGCTGGTCTATGTCTCTCTCTCATCGATGTTTCTAGCTCTCTATCTCTCTCCTCTCCCTTCCTCTCTGTAAAAAATCAATAAAATATGTATTTTTTTTAAAAAAAAGCAAAGTTCAGAAGTGTATATAGCATGTTTCCATTTGTTTATATAAAAGGGAAAAATAAAAATGATAATAAAGTTATATGGCTTGCCAAACATTGTTCTCAATGCCTTACATATATTTGGGTATTACTATTATCCTTCTTTTACAATTAAGAAAACTGAGGCCAAAGCCGGTGTTGCTCAGTGGATAAAGCGTCAGTCTGTGGACTGAGGGGTCCCAGGTTCGATTACGGTCAAGGGCGTGTACCTTGGTAGCGGGCACATCCCCAGTAGGGGGTGTGCAGGAGGCAGCTGATCGATGTTTCTCTCTTATAGATGTTTCTAACTATCTCTCTACCTTCCTCTCTTTAAAAAAAATCAACAAAATATATATTTAAAAAAACCCTGAGACTTCTGTGTATAATTTATGTGTAAATAAACACTGGAAGAAAACAAGCAATTGTTAACACTGGTTAATAATTGAGGAAACTTGGTGGACAGGAGGTAGATTTTCACTTCATGCTTCTTTTTATTATTTGTTAAACCTCATCTGGTGATATATTTTCCACTGCTTTTCAGAGAGAATGGGAGGGAGGGAAGAAGATGGAAGAGAGAAACATCAATGTGAGAGAGACACATCAATTGGTCTCCTGCATGCACCCCAACCAGGGTGGGTATTGAACCTGCAACCCAGGTTTGTGCCCTTGACCTGGAACGGAACCCTCAACCCTTTGATGCACAGGCCGATGCTCTAACCACTGAACCATGCTGGTCAGGGCACACTGCATACCTCTTTATTATTTATTTATGTCATATATTTTTATTGATTTCAGAGAGGAAGGGAGAGAAACATCAGTGATGAGAGAGAAACATTGATCAGCTGCCTCCTGCACGCCCACATTGGGATTTGAGCCCACAACCCAAGCACATGCCCTGACCGGGAATCGAACTGTGACCACCTGATTCATAGCTGAACGCTCAACCACTGAGCCACACCGGCCAGGCTGCATACCTCTTTTTTTTTTTTTTTTAAGTCAGTCAAGTGTGGTTGTGTGGAGGGAGACAATGTTAATCAGCTTAACAACCCACAACCTTTGGACCAACTGCATACCTCTTTTATTTATTTATTTAAATATTTTACACAGAGAGGAATTGAGAGGGACAGAGAGTTAGAAACGTCGATGAGAGAGAAACATCGACTAGCTGCCTCTTGCACACCCCCTACTGGGGATGTGCCCGCAACCAAGGTACCTGCCCTTGACAGGAATCGAACCCGGGACCTTTCAGTCCGCAGGCCGACAGTCTATCCACTGAGTCAAACCGGTATCGGCTGCATACCTCTTTTAAATGGTTTGTTTTTTGACCCATGTGAATATATATGCGAGACAGTTAAATAAAATTTTAAAATAAACGAATAGAAGAAAAGTTGTTAGCCAATCCCTGCCCCCCAAATTCCCTTCCACAGCATACAAAAGAACTCAGGACTCACAGAGCTGGGACAAGAAGGCTTGGTCTCCAAGAAGCTCCTTGCTGTAGAGGCTGAACCAGCCCTCGATCACCAAGTGAATGAACCCACACACCGCAAACCAGCACAGTGACAGTCGTCGCCAGATTCCCAGGGGGACGATGGCAGTAGGTCCTGACAGCAGCCATGTGGTCCCAACTACGACTCCAGTGGCGGAGAAGAGGCCAGCTAGGATGTGCCAGGTAGGGTAGTCGTTAGGCACATAGTTGTCCAGTTTCAGGTGCCGAGGCCAGTATGGGTGCAGGGGGCTAGCACTGGCCGCCATGTCTTCGCAGGCTGATGGCTGTGTGTGGATAAGCAGAAAGAAGAAAAAAAGGAAGAGAAAAAACCTGAACAAATAGAAAGCACAGAATGAGATCATCAATCACATCCAATCCAAATGGTTTAGGATCACAAAAAATGCAAATGGACTCTATTGATCAGTTACTAGACTCATAAAACTGGCTCAAACTCCAACGTGGAATCGTATGCTGCTTTTCCACAGAAAGAATGGAAACCTGTTCCAGCCCTGTGGGACCCACAGGTGGTAAACAGCACCCAGACCAGTTCCCTGCCCTCAGGGTCAGAGTCAGCCAGGGAAGACAGGAATCGGGACGCTCCCTGCTCTCATTGGTCACCGTCGGTGGGCAGACAGAAGACTGTGACTGGGTCCTAGCCCTCGTTGGTCACACCCTGCTAAGGTTACACACAGGGACCGAGCTCGGTCCGTGCCCTCGGGGGTCCCAGGCTGCTGGGAGGAGAAACAGACCACAGGTAGGTTCCCACGGCTGGAGTCGCAGCGGAGAGCTAGCCCCTCTCTGGAGCCCTGGGAACCGCGGGACAGACGAGACGACACTAACGAGAACGACCACCCTCGGGAGCAGCGTGCGGAGAGCCAAACGCCGCCTCCCGCAACCGCGCACGCCGTCCGCAACCTGCAGGGAGCCGGCGAGTGGAAGGCACCGGTCCCCGCGGCGCTTCGAGGGGAGGAGGAGGGATCAATGCAGAGCCCACCAATCAGAACTCGACCCTCTAGTCCAGCTGCCCAATGAGAAGGAGGATCTGCGGTAGCCCGGGCGACGACGCGGTACCGGGGGTCTCACGCAGGCGCGTAGGGTACGTGGCGCGTTGGCGGGCTGCAGGGGGAAAGGGGGCTCGCGCAGGCACGCCCGCGGCGGCCGTTGGGCGGCGGAGAGCGACGGGATGGAGCGGCCGGCGGGGCGGGGGGAAGCACTCACCCGGCGGCGCTGTCTCCGCGACCTGTCCGGCAGGGTCCCCGGCTCCGCTGGGCTGGCCTAGGGGCTCCGCGACGAGCTAGTTCAGACCCATTGCCCCACCGGTTCCTCTTCTTATGGAGTTGGCCAATGGAGGGGCTGGGAGGCGGCCAGCGCCACACCCAACCAATCAGAGCCCTCTGTGCGCCCCCGGCCCCGCCCTCAGGCGTGGTGCCACTTTCGTTGTTGGCTGAGCCCGGAGTGTGGAGGTGGGTGAAGGCAGGGAGCGCCCCGGTTGGTGGGCGTTTTCCACCGAAACCGACTTGCAAGAGGTCTTGGCTTCGGTTTCCCTGTTCTCTGATCAGGCAATGTTGAATCAGCATTGCATTGTGTCCTGTCTTCCTTGCCCTCCTTTTCTAAGCAGACTGCTGAATCCGTTGCCAGAGCAGACCTGCATTTTTTTTTGTTTGTTTTTTTTTACAAAGTACGTTCTTACTGATTTTTAGAGAGAGTGGGAGGGAGACGGTTGGAGATAGAAACATGGATGAGAAACACCATCCACTGGCTGTCTCCTGCACGCCCCCTACTCCGGATCGAGCTGCAACTCGGGCATGTGATCTTGACCGGAATCGAATCAGGGACCCTTCAGTTCGCAGGCTGATGCTCTATGCAATGAGCGAAACCGGCTAAGGCCAAAAGCCTTCATTGTTTTATTGCCCGAATGCACAAGGAAACAATATTGTGAGCACATCCTGTTAACTACACCTCTGTCCTCTACCTCAGCGCTCAGGACTCCTTAGCGGTCATCCTCACCTCTCTCGACTTCAGGTCAGAAATGCCAATCAAAACACCTTGAATGCCTATTGGCACGGAGATACTCAATCTCCCCGTGCCAGTTCTACTGAACCACATTGAACTCCACAGTTCTAAGCCAGTGAGCACCCAGACTGCATAGTCAGAATCCAGACCCATCCCAAACCTCCTGTCCAATTACAACTCATAACCCTCAGTCCTAAGGATCAATAAGCATCACGTGTGTGTGTGTGTGTGTGTGTGTGTATATATATATATATATATATACTAGAGGCCCAGTGTATGACATTCGTGCAGTGGGGGTGGGGGGAGTCGGGGTCCCTCAGACCAGCTTGCGCCCTCTCGCAGTTCAGATCTCTCGGGGGATGTCCACCTGCAGCTCCTGCCACTGCTGCTGGAGCCCAGCTTCTGGCTGAGCGGCACTCCCCCTGTGGGAGCACACTGACCACCAGGGGGCAGCAACTGCCCTGAGCGTCTGCCCCCTGGGGGTCAGTGCACATCATAGCGACCAGACATTCCATTGTTTGGTTGATTTGCATATTAGCCTTTTATTATATAGGATATACTAGAGGCCTGGTGCACGGATTTGGGTACCGATGGGGTCCCTTGGCCTGGCCTGTGGGGGTTGGGCTGAAACCAGCTCTAGGACATCCCCTAAGCCTTAGGGGATCCTGGATTTCAAGAGGGCAGTTCTGCCAAAACTGGTTTGGCTCAGTGGTAGAGCGTCGGTTCAATTCTGGTCAAGGGCATGTATGTTGGTTGCAGGCACATCCCCGGTAGGAGGTGTGCAAGAGGCAGCTGGTCGATGTTTCCCTCTCATCGACGTTTCTAGCTCTCTATCTCTCTCCCTTCCTCTCTGTAAAAAATCAATAAAATATATTAAAAAAAAAAAAAGGGCAGTTCTCAGGTGACACATTCTGGAATCGGGCTCCCTCCTGTCTGGTTCCAGCGGTTATCTGAGAACCACTGCTGCCTGCCAAAACCGGTTTGGCTCAATGGATAGAGCGTCGGTCTGGGGACTGAAAGGTCCCAGGTTCGATTCCGGTCAAGGGCATGTACCTTGGTTGCCATCAAGGGCATGTACCTTGGTTGCGGGCACATCCCCAGTAGGGGGTGTGCAAGAGGCAGCTGGTCGATGTTTCTCTCTCATCGACGTTTCTAGCTCTCTATTTCTCTCCCTTCCTCTCTGTAAAAAATCAATAAAATATATTTAAAAAACAAAACAAAAAACAAAACAAACAAACAAAAAAAACTGCTGCTGCCAAGCGACCACAGCTCAGCAGCTCCTGCTTTGAGCATCTGCCCTCTGGTGGTCAGTGTGCATCATAGCTACTGGCCAGTAGACTGGTCACTTAGGCTTTTATATATGTAGATATATATCAGAGAGAGGAAGAGTTAGAAACATCAATGAGACAGAATCATTGATCGGCTGCCTCCTGTATGCCCACACTGGGGATCGAGCTGCACCTGGGCTTGTGTCTTGACCAGGAATCAAACTGTGACCTCCTGATTCATAGGTTGATTCTCAACCACTGAGCCATGTTGGCCAGACTCAACGGTGTCTTGCTTTCTTTTTTCTCTGTCCCAGTTAGAGTAACCAGTTCGTTTTCCTGCCAGGTGATATCAGGCCTCCCACACACACAACTAATTCGTCCCAGCCCTGCTTATATCAGGCCGTGCCATCTTCCGTCTCAACATCTAATCATGAATCATGAACTGATCACAAGCTGTTCCTTCTTCATGGTTTCAGCTTCCAAACCTTTATCCATGCTGTGCCCCCTTCCTCACTCACTTCTACTCCCCACTAAGCAGTGAAGAAAGAGTCTTTTGTATATTTCCTACTTTTATTTGACAATAACAAACTGTATATAAAAAGGGAGTGGGAAGGCGGGAAGGCTGTGATCTCCCCCTCTCTGCTTCCCTAAGCACCCCCATCCCTTGGCCCCGCAGGGACCACCCCCTTCCCGCCTTATGGTGGGGTGGGGATCAGCAGGCATGAAAATGGTGTGTGTGTGTGTGTGTGTGTGTGTGTGTGTGTGTGTGTGTAAGAATGTTAGGGGGACTATGATGGACGGGGTGAAGAATTAGAGGGCCCTCCCTCATCCTCCATCAGAGCTGGCTCCCTGAGGAGGGGTTGAGTCTTGAGGGAAGTTGGAGGGTCCACAGATGTGCCTCAGCCTATGAGACGGTAGAAGATCCAGCATCCAAAAGTGACCCAGTGACTGGCCCAGCTGAGCTCTGACCATTTGTGGACAGTGTATGCCATGCCATAACCCTGTGGGAGAGAAAGAAGTGATGGTCCCACTCAGCAAGAACAAAGAAGGTCTCAGGAAAACCCATCTTTTGCTCAAGGCCATTTCTGTGACTCCATGGTGACCTTAGGTGAGGCCCCAGAGAAAAAACTGGGTGATATAAAAGATAAAGAGATTTAGTTTTATTTCTTTTGTGTTTTCTTCTTCAACTCCACTGTCTGACCTGTACTCTGCATATCAAAGGTAAGCAGATTTAGGTTTTTTTTCTTTCATGCTTTCTTTAGAAATAATTTTAAAGACAGGGCGAGATAACCCCACTCTCTGACCTGTACTCTCCTTCATATGTAAAGAGCTCCTAGAAATCAATATTTTAAAAAGACAAAAATTGGCAAAGGAGGTGAGTAGACCATTCTCCGTAAAGGAGAAAACCAAATAGCTCTTAAATGTATGGCCTCACTCACAATCTTCCTCCTCTCAAACTGGCAAACACATCCAGGAAGTCTGAGAGGCACTCTGTTGGTGGAGGGACAGACATGTTCACACACTGCTGGTGGGAGAGCAAAAAGGTAACTTCTCCATTTCGACTACCAAAAATCGATCCTACAGCTCTGTCTGCACCTGTGTGACTCTACATGGGTATGAGGCTCTTACTTGCTGCAATGTGATTTGCAATAGGAAAAGACTGGAAATCACCTGGGTGTCCACGGATAAGGGACAGACTACCCTACGTCATAGCTATGTACTGAAGTGGAAGATTTTCAAGGATCATCATATAGAAAAGCAACATGTAGTACACACTTCATCCATGAGTTACCTTTAGGGTCAAAACCAGGGGAGGGAATTAAAAGATGCTTTTATATTCACTTATTATACTTACATTTTTGAAAGGTATTTTAATAAAATGAAGGAAAGTGGTTACCTGGAAGAGGGCAGTGAGTAGACCGTAGGAGGAAGACTTTTCCCTGCATATCTTAAATACTGTTTGTTTTTAACTTTGTGATATACATGAACTATTTTTAAATGTTTTGATTAAAACAAGATAAAAACTTTATTTAAAAAAAAAAAAAAAAAGCAAAACCCTGCCCTGGCCGGTGTGCACAGTGGTTAGAACATTGGCCCGCACACCGAAGGGTCTCAGGTTTGATTCCTGGTCAAGGGCACATACCTGAGTTGCAGGTTCATGCTCCACCCCCTGATCTGGGTGTGTGTGGTAGGCAGCTAGTTAATGTATCTCTCTCACATCAATGTTTCTCTCTCTCTCCCTCTCCCTCTCTCTTTTTTTCTCTCTCTCTCCCTTCCTTCCCTCCCTCCCTCCCTCCCTCCTACTCTCTTTGAAAAGCAACAACAAAAAGGAACCCCCAAAATAAGAAGAAGCAAAACCCAGATTTTGCACACTCAACCTGATTAGAAATTAAAAGCTGTTTTTAATGATGAAAATAATATAAAGTTTTATTTTTAGTTAAAAACAAAAATGCAAAAGAGAAGCAAAACCTGGATCCTGCAAGAGCTACGTGAGCAAACATTATTTTAGAAATTGTTTTTAATTTAAAATCTGGAATGTGCATACTCCACATGAATAAAAATAGCCTATCCATTTTAATAGCAATTTTAAAAGTAGAGTCTAGAGTTTGCATAATCCACTTGAGTGAAGATTTAAAAAAAAAAATTAAAGAATAAACCTTGCGGATTTGACCTAAACAAAAATAGAATGAGATGACTCATTGAAAAAAAAAAAAAGAAAAAAGGAAAACCTGGATTTTGCATTCCATCTCTATAAAATAAGTAAAATAAAATAGATTTTGAAAACTCCACCCAAAGAAAAGACCCAGCAGTGCCCGCAGGGACAACGGGAAGGAAGGACCGAGGAGCACTGTCTGCACAAACGAGAGACACACCACACAAGGTCCTCATGTCTCGGCCTCCCCGCCCCCCTTTCATCTTCATGGTTCCCATGAGCAGGTGGCACATCCCTGGGTTCCCCCAGCCCAGGGCCCCACCTCACCTGCTCCTCTGTGGTATCATCCACATCGACATCAAACAGGGAGCCCAGGTAGGCCAGGTGGAAGATGGCCAGGGCCCCAAAGAGCAGGTTTAAGGCTCGTACCCCCAGGCCCTGTGGGGGACAGATGGATTTGCTTGGCAGCTGGACCTACTCGCTGTCCCTCAGTGCCACCTGGGCACGGGAGCCCAGGGAGATGCACCAAGTGCAGTGGGTTCCAGGCATGAGGATGTCCATGGTACCCCCGGGTAGGAACGAGATGGTTCAGGTCCTCCTACGGGAGCCCAAAAGGTCCCCAGGGCTCAGGGGGCGTCCAGGTTGGGGGAGATGCGAGTGTTCAGGCAAAGGAGGCAGAATGGTGGAGCTCTGACTTGGGGGTTTATGGGAAGAAACATCAGTTGTCTGATAGGAGACAAAGCTGAGGTTGTCCATACTTCTTATTGCAAACAGAAGGAAAAAAAAAAAAAAGAAAAATCTAAAGTAAATTCCTAGCATGTCCTACAGGTCCCATAGTTCTCCCCCTCGCTCGCTTTGCTCAAGCCACACTGGCCTCCTCGCTGTTCCTCAGATATTCCAGGCCCTCTCCCGTCTTGGGGCCTTGACATTGTTTCTTCCCTTTGCCTGGAATGCTTCTGGCCCTCACCTCCCTCAGCTGAGGGACTCCCTATGCAAGATGGAATCCATTCGCCCCCTGATCATTCCCTTCTCCTTTCCCTTGTGTATTTCCTCCTTGGCACTGATCACCACCTGATAGACTCTTACACCTCGCTGACTTATTGTTTATTTACTGATTCCCCTGTTAACATGTGTGCCCAGAGGGCTGGCACTTCATAGTCTGTTGGTCACCACTGTGTCTCCAGCATCTAAAATAGCGCCTGGTACCAGCAGGTGTTCAATATGTGTTCCCTGGGGACATGAATGCCCGGTGTGCATACAGCAGGTGCTTGATAAGTGTTTGTTAGAGAGACGCATGGCAGTGAACGGAGGTGAAGTTCTGGGATGGCTCAGGCACCAGAACAGGAAGCTGGGCACCCTGAGGCACATATAAGATGGAGACGGAAGCAACGTTTTTGAGGGGGAGTGTTGGGCTTGAGGTTGCCCAGGCTGAACCCTCACCAAGCGATGCTGGTGTGAACAGTCTGGTGGGCACCGTTTCGACAAGACGCAGGCACTGAGGATCCGAGCCAGGCGCTTCCGGAGGACTAGGGGAGATGAGGGGAGGAAAAGGGGGTCAGGTTAGCCTCAGGGGACAGTGGTTCTAGCCCCCCAGCAACCTCCCATCCTATCCCATCCAGGCTGAGCTCCGAACTCACCGTGCTCCACGTAAGTGATAAATGCCAGCGACAGCAGCACCGCAGCCAGATGGAAGCTGAAGCCCTGGTGGGGCCCCAGGGGGCAAGGAGGTGAGTGAGGAGAAGGCCCTGCCACCCCCGTCCAGCTCCCACCCTGACCCCCTTCCCCTACTCACGTGCAGGAGGGCACTGGCTGCGTAGGTGACCAGCACGGCTGAGAAGGTGCCCAGGCGGAGAGCATTCTTGAAAACATCTGGAAGAGGGAGATGCGGGTCAAGAGTCACCCAAGATTCTCTCCTGCCCTGGGGGGGGAGGGGCATTGAGCAGGGTGAGGATGTGCTGGAAGGCCTGGGATAAAGTCTGTGTAATGATCTCCCTCTTCCTCTGTCCAAATCTTAGCTCCTGAACTTCCCTCCAGTCTGTTTCTCCCACAGCCTGTCCAAGTTCAGCCAATGTCAATCAACTCCCCCGATCCAGTTCCTCAGGGCAAAAACCTGAGAATCCCCCTTAATCTGCTCTGCCCTCACTCCCACAGCCAAACTCAGCAAATCCTGGGAGTGTCACCATTAGAATTTACCCAGAGACTGACCTCTCCTCGCCAATGCCCACTGCCTCCACCACCCGGACTACTGCCCTGGCCTCCTCACTGCTTCCGCCTGGCTCCCTCCCCTCATCTGTCCTCACAGCAGCCAGAGGGTCCTGTTACACCCAAGTCAGCCCAAAGCCCTCCTCTGCTCAGACCTCTGTTGTGGCTCCAGCTCTCTGTGACAAGGCCAAAGTCCTCCCGTGGCCAGTGAGGGTCCACAGGCCCAGGCCCTCGTCACCTCTCCAACCTCACCTCCTGCTGCTAGTCCTCTTGCTCTCTTTCCTTCTGCCAAACTGGTCTCCTCAAACACATCAGGCATGTTCCTGTCTCAGGACCTTTGCACTGGCTGTTCCCTCCATCTGTTACATCCCTCCCCCACATTTTACAATGCTTGCTCTCTCACCTGATGCAGATCTCAGCTCAAATGCCACCTCCTCCGTGGGACTTAGTCTGTTAATTTATTTAAAATTGTGACATCCCGCCCACACTGCCAACACTCCAGATCACCCTTTCCTGCTTGATTATTATTTTTCAACATAGCACTTATCACCATCTGAGCTCTTCTGTATTTTTCTCTCTTTTAAGAAAATCTTTTTATTGATTTCAGAGAGGAAGGGAGAGGGAAACAGAGATAGATACACCAAGGATGAGAGAGAATCATTGGTCGGCTGCCTCCTGCACTGGGGATCAAGCCCGAAGCCCGGACATGTGCCCTGACTGACTTGGAATCGAACTGTGACCTTCTGGTTCATAGGTCATCGCTCAACCACTGAGCAGCCCCAGCTGGGCCATTTCTTCTCTTACAATGTGCTTCCCCCACAAAAATACCAGCTCCACAAGGGCAGGGATTTGGGGCTGGTGTTGTTTTTTTGGTCCCTGCACACAATAGTATCTCGGTGAATGTTGTATGAGTATGTAAAAGGGCCTGGGGTGAGGGCTTCCCACTCTTGGATTGGCGACTTGATGACTCACAGTTATTGAGCCAATAAGACATGGGCAGGTTCCAGCTTGTGACAACTTGCACCATGGACCGAGGCAGCTCCACGTTCAGTGGCTTGGACACTGTCAGGTCCCTGTGGGCAGAAGGTATACGAATTCACCTGGGATCCCCAATCCTGCTGGCCACACGTTTGTCTTGGCTGTCTCCTCCCCCGGAGCACCCCATTCCTCCTGCAGCTCCTCTAGGCAATACCCCGAGAGAGAGGACGGCCCCCCAGCCCTCCCCACCATTTCAGGTGATCCTTCTCCTCGGTGAAGCCAGCGCCTGCCAACGTGGTCGTGGCCTCGGACAGGAAGCCCACGAAATAGTTGCTGAAGTGGAAGGAGACGGCGCTCTCGTAGGCTCGCAGCCACCTGGGGAGGAAGGAGCAGGGGGAGGGGCATCAGGTCCCGGGGCCGGCGTGCCACCCCACCATGTGCCATCATCCCCAGCCCCACTCTGTAGACTCACCTCACCATGGTGCCCCTAAGGCCCCCGGGGGTCAGGAAGGCAGCAGAGAAGAAAGGAAAGAGAGTCAGAGGCCCAGGAGGCTGGCCTGAGTTGCTCTTAGACAAGACAGAAACACAGTGGCAAAAAACACAGGTGCAGTGTGACAGCCACACACATGCAGACACGGTCAGTTTCATGGGGCTCGGATGGGTGTGTGAGCTGCTCTGCCATACGCTATCGTCCCGCAGTCCCATGTGGCCGGGCATCCAGACCCGGCTTCTGTCAGAGGCCCATCCTAACGGCCCTACACCATGTCATTGCCATGTGGCCAGACGCAAATAGCATCAGACTCCTAGCTCTCTAACCTGACTCGGTGACCATGAGACATACGAAAGTCCTATAGGTAGGCACAGATCATCAGGCTCCTGGCTACGCACACATACGCAAGTCTACCCCCCCCACAGTCACTGTCACTCTGTCAATCACACAATAGACACAGGCAAATCCTGCGTTGGCAAAGGCTGCTTCTGGAATCAGGCCTGGGATTGACGCCTGGCTGCTGAACTGGGTGACAATGGGCAAGTCACTCCACCTCCAAGAGCCTCATTCAGCATTAGACACAATCAGCTGCCAGTGGGTAGCAGGGGAGGGAGGGGCCATCCGATCTAAGGGCTGGATGGAATCCTAGTTGTACCGGAGGCAGATGGTCAGTCGGTCACAACCCCTCAGCTAGACAACACCATGCAGCCAGAGAAGGCAGACCCACAGGCAGGCCCATCAGAGAGGCACAATGACATGCTACAGTCAGACCCATTCCCAGCCAGAGTGACAGACAAGCCAGACTTACCCAACGACAGCCACACACCCCGTCATTGACAATGGCACAGCCAGAACTCCAGTCCCACATCGGGAGTCAGCGGCTGAGAGACAAACAACCCATACACACGCCTAGCCAGAGTCTCAGACAGGTCAGCGTCACCAGCCAACCCATACTTGTCACTCCCTGTTACAGTCATGTGATTGGCTTCTAAAGGTGAAACAGCGGGACGGATGGACATTCAGACATAGTATGTGTCAGGGGGTCAGTCATACATGGAGTTACAGAGCCAATCTTGGCCAAACAACAGCCACAGACAGACATTCAATCTCGGTCCAGTCATGGGGTGCATGGTCAGATAGTCTCAGACTGAACAGAACCAAGAGGTCACAGGCTGTGCCCCCACCCCCCAGTGCCCACTCTCCCTCAGCACCTGCCCTCATTTACCTGGCTTTGCGTTTCTTGCTGTAGTAACAGAAGATAGACAGAAGCATTAAGAGACAGGCTCAGAGCTGGGGAGACCCCAGGTCCCTACCCAACCCCCTCTTGCAGGGCAGAGGCCTCGAAGGCCTTGCTCACTTTCGAAGGAGGCGGTCGCCATCCAGGGGGATGAAGTACGGGAAGAGGTAAGGGCCCACACAGGTGGACAGCACAAGGCACAGCAGGGCCAGCGCCAGGCTCCGGGTCACCTTCTGCAGCCACCGGCGGCTCTGTGGGCATCAAGGCTCCATGAAGACTGCCCTGTGGGGGTTCCCACAGTCCCTGCCCACCTGCCCACCTGCCCACCTGCCCACCCAGGACCTCACCAGAGGGCGACCTTGGACAGCCTGCAGGTAGCTTTGGAAGGATATCCAGGGCCCAAAGACGATGGTGCCCACGAAGTAGAGGTAGCCCATGAACTCCACGGGTGAGGGCACTGCACCCACCTCACCCCGGTCCAGGTCGAAGCCCAGGGACACCGCCTTCATGGCCACGATCATCTGGGCCCCTATGTGTGGTGCCCATAATCAAGCAAATGGGCACAGAGCAGGTCAGCATGGGGAGGGGGGAGCACCAGGGGAGGGGTGGTAGGAAAAGAGAAGTTCAAGGGTGGGCAAGTGGGCACACAGTCTGATAGGCAGAGGATCAGGTAGGGAGGGAAGGACAGGGTTGGGGGAGTTAGGAGATGCGGAGTGGGGCAGGTGAGCGAGCCAGGGCCTCCTACCTCGCATCTTGTGCCACGTCACAGTGTCCACCATGTGCATCTCACTGAGGAGAGAAGGTGGTGGTCTTGGGCTCAGAGACCACAAAGTGGGGTGGGGATCAAGGTGCAGAGAGGCTTATACCCCTGTCCAGCACAACCTCCTGGAGGAATAATTCTCTGGGACTCCTTCCTCCAGGGGGAGCCCACGCTCAGCCTGTCCTGTACAGCCTTTAAAAATAACTCGTCCCCCACATTCCCTCCTCCAGGAACACCCCGTGCTCTTCCTGTCCTGCACAGCCGCCTGAGGAGCAGCCAAGGGACCCACCGACCCGGGACCCACCCACCTGGGACCCACCCACCCTTCTGCCAACAGTGTGGGGGCGGGGGCTCACACCCGTACCCCATGAGCAGGTAGATCAGGATGGTGACGGAGAGGAAGACGCCTCGATGGGAGGAATGTCGGCAGAGGAATAGCACGAGGTAGCACAGGAGGCTGAGCAGCACAACCCAGACCATGTGCAGCTGGAAAAAGTGGTAGAGGCTGAAGAACCCTCCTGCCACGGTGCTTGCGTGCTTCAGGTAGGATGGCAACCCTTCAGGGGAGAGAGGCAGAGACCAGGAAAGGGAGGGTGGGTGGGCTGGCAACAAGGGAGGGCAACCTGAGCAGAGGGCACAGCCTGGGAATGTGGTGGGCTTGCAGGGGGCTCAGGGCAGGTGTTGAGGAGCTGGAGAGGTGGCAGGGCCTGGAATTATTTGTTTATTTTATTGATTGATTTGAGAGAGAGATAGGGGGGGGGGAGAGGGAGGGAGAGAGAGAGAGAGAGGAACATCGATGTGTTATTCCACTAATTTATGCATGCATTGGTTGATTCTTGTATGTACCCTGACTGGGAATTGCATTGCAACCTTGGCATATGGGAACGATGTTCTAACCAACTGTGCAACCCGACCAGGGCCAAATCCCAGGTTTGAAGAAAAGGAGCATCTTGAAAGGACATTTGGGAACCCTGGGAGAAATGTGAGTATTAACTTATATTGGGTAATATTACTGCATCCGGATTAGATTTCTTTGGGGGGGGGTGATGGTTTCGGCTGTGGTTGTTGGGGGAAGTTGTCTTTATTTTTGGGGGGACACACACTGATGCATTCGGGGTGAAGTGCCAGCAGGATATTCAAATGATTTAGAAAGATGATAGATAGATAGATAGATAGATAGATAGATAGATGATAGAGCAGGCTAGTGTGGGAAGATGGGAATCTGGTGATGCATATAATGGGTGTTCATTGCATTATTCTTTCAATTTAACTTCAGTAACCGAAATATTTCAAAATGAAAAGCCTAAGAAAAAATAAAACATCCATTTAAAATAAAAATAGAATGTAGGACTTTTGAATTTCAGATTTCCAAAATTCTCAGCATCCTATAGGGACCTTGGGAACTTAGAGTTTTAGCATTCGGATGCAGGCTTGCTGTGAATGTGGAAACATTCCAGAATCCCAGCATTCAGAAATCTCATCATGCCCTGATTCTAGAAATCCACATTGCGAGCATTTTGGAAGCCTAGGATGTGGGAATTTCTACTTGTCAGCTCCCAAACCCTATAGTGTGGCACTTTGGAATTCCATAACCCTTTGACAACTGCATTGCCGAATCTTATAACGCTGGGATGTAGACATTCCAGGTCCCCCAAATCCAAGAACCTCAGCTCTCCAGAACCCTTGAACCCAGGAATACTAAAAGGCGTGCCTTGGCATGGCTGACGTGGCTTGGCAATGTATGGCTGGGCATAGTGGGATGTGGTGTGGTAGCCTGGTGCTTCGCCTGGTGGGAGGGGGTGGGCTGGACATACCGGCGCCTGGCTTGGCATGGCAAGATGCTGCAGGATAAGGTGTGGCTTGGTACGGGTGAATGTGGCAGTGGGATATGGCCTGGCATGGCGCATAGTGGGGCAGGCACTTACCGAGCCTCCAGAAGAGGCGGCAGGCGAGGCAGATGGCAAGGAGCAGCCAGATCTGGTCAAGGCCCTGCTGGGCAGTAGGCAGGAGACAGCCCTGCAGCAGCTGCTGGAAAAATTCCTGGCGGCTGAAGGTGGCCATCGCAGCCCCTCACGGATGGATGGACAGATGGATAGACCTGTCAAAGTGGGGACACAGAGCAGGGATGTCCATGGGGCAGACCATAGGCTTGAGCGCTCAGATTTCAGTTTGGGGCTGTCCAACCCATTTCGACACACAGTGCTGGGGGGCGGGGGGACCAGGAGAGGGTGTGGGTGTCAGGTACATCAGCTGGAGCCGCCAGCTGTGCGTGTGGGAGCGTCCTGGGTGCACACACACAGCCCACGACCTGTGCTGAATGAAGGACCTGTGCCTCTCCTATGCTGTGAGGAGTCGGGTCCGATGGGGAATGAATGGTGTGCATTCCAGGCCGGTATATCAAATGGGGACGCTCTCTGGTTTCCAAGGTAGAGTCACTCTGTGCGGAGGGCAGAGAGGGAGATCCTGTGACACTTGGGGGCCGTGTGCATCTCTCCTTGTACGGATGTGAGGGGTGTCCTGTATCCCCGGCGTGCCCCATCTCACCCCCGCCCGGCCACTCCCGGCCACCGAGGAAGCCCTGCCCAGGCCCCGGGGCTTCGGGGAGGTGGTGGTGGCGGCTGGGGACAGAGCCGAAGGGGGAGTCTGAAAGGTGATGGAGAGGGGACCCAAGAACACGCGCTGCAGATCGCTGCGGGGAGGCCGTCTCAGGATGGGAGCGGAGGAGCCGCGCGCGCACCCCCGTGACCTACCTGGCAGGAAGGAAGCTGCGGTCCCGGGGACCGGGGACGCACTGCCGCCGCCACCGTCGCCTCCTCCTCCGGGCAGCCTCCCCCGCAGGCCGCAAGGCCGGGACCAGCTGCGGCTGGGAGAGCAGCGCGGCGAGCGGGCCCTTTAAATCCCGGGGAGGCCCGGCCGGCCGGCTCGGCCAATGGGAGGGCAGGAGCGGGGCGGGGCCGGCAGAGGTGGTGGGAGGCGGGAGGGTCTAGGGAAGGAGGAGCGGGCGGTTGAGAGGAGCGGGGTGCTGCGGGGGGCCTCTGCGCCCGCACCTTTGGGGCCCTGAGTGGTGCAGCCCCTGACCGTCCTCGCCCGGAGGTGTCTGGCGGGCCCAGAACCGGCGCCTCAGCAGCCAGATCCCCAATCCCGGGGAGCCGCGATGCGAACCACAGGGGAGGGAGGGAGGAGGGAGAGCCCCTCACCTTGACTGCTCACCCACGCACGTTCTCGCGCCGTGCGCCTCGGCTCCCAGATGGGAAATGAGCCGAGCTCTGTCCTGCCCCATCCTTGGAGGGAACCGAAGGCATTTCCAACCCGCTCCCGCCCCGGGGACGGGCCCGAAACGTTCCTCCGTCTCGTCTGTGTCACCGAGGAACACCCATTAGGCGCCTGAGCTTCCCCTAGGGGACTCCCTGTGGGCACCGGGCTGGCGGTGGAGAACCGATTTGCTTGCTTCATTCCCGGGCCCGTACTGATTCACCTTGCACCGAGGGTGACCCCGGCAAGCAGTGCGTGAGCCAGGAGGCTGGGTCGGAGCACCCGACCGATCCCGAGCATTTGGGAAGCGTTTACAAGCGCCCCCAACACTGCCCCAGCACAGGGTTGACGCTGCACCTGCTGTCTGCCTCCCTTCCCCGCAGTGCTGGGCACCCCACTCGGTCCCTAGGCTGCCGAAGGGCCTATTTTCCCAAAGGCACAGTTTTTGCGCAGGTACTGCGCGCTCAGCTACGATGTGGAAGGGAGAGGAAAGCCCAGATCAAGCCGGACCCCCGCCGTCACCTGAGGAGCGAAGGAAAACAGGCTCTAATCAGATTAGCGCTTGCCTGCATGGGGCTGGGGAAGTCATGCCCACTCGCCTGGCTTTGGTATCCCTTTCGCTTAAACAAAAGAATGGGATTAGCACTTCTTTGCTTGGAAACAGCGGTGGCAATAGGAGAGAAATGCGCGTCTCCTCTCTTTCACACGAATGTTAACGTGAAGGCAAGGGGAGTTTTCGCTCCTGAGTTCATATTCCTGTATCACAAGCAGGAAAAAATGGAACTCAGTCACTGTGAATAAATTACATAGACCTGATTCACCCATGCGAATCTTTCTTCTTTATTTCTCTTCTTTTTGCTAATTCCCTTTCTTAAGCGCAGAGTGCAGGCCATACATTTCATAAAGTAGGATTCATTCTTATTTTTCCCCTCTATTTTCAGACACACTCAAGTAGAGTCAACAATGACCCACCGCACATGCCAGAAATATTTCCCTTAATTGCAAGTCTTGGTATTTCAAAAACGGAAAGATCCTTACTATATGCCTCGCTGAGCTTCACAGACTTGATTGTTTCATTCCAGTCTTTTGATGTGTGTGATAAAGACCTGGTATCTAGATTCTGGGATGTATAAAGCACAGCTACAAATCGATCAGGAGAGGACAAGCACCAGCTTAGAAAATGGACAGTGGTTATGAGTAGGGAATTCACAGCAGAATCCCCAGAAATGGCCAATATGTATAACCTGTGAGAAGATAACTCATTCTTTTTTGTAAGCAGGGAAATGCAAAATGAAAGCAAGAATTAGGTCCATTTCACATCTACCAGGTGTGGCGTTTCCTATTTTTGTCACTGGAGCTTAGTAGAGAGTGGCACTCAATAAATGGCTTTCAAATTGGATAGCCTTTGTGGTCATTCTGCATATGGTTTCTGGGGCATTTTAAAGGGTCTCTCCATAATAAAAGAGGGACAAACGGATACAACGAGATCACAGTTTTCACTTATTAGATTGGCAAAAATTGCTAAGCCTCATCATAACCACAGTGTAGCTATCGATTTATCTCTATCCCTATCTATATATTTTTCTAAACTGTTTGATTGGAGTTGCAGACACCGTGGCCTTTCAGCTAAATAGTGAAGTATGAATTTCCCAATAAGGACATTTTCCTACATGCTTACCAGCAGTGTCTGAGGGCTCCAATATGTGCACATCCTCAGCACTTGTTATCTGACTTTTTCATTGTGGCCACCCCAGTGGGTGCGCCAGTAATGTGCCTCCATAGGAAAAGGAAATCCCGAGTCACATGCTGCCTGCTGTTATCAGGTCTTTTGAGCCTCCCTCGTCGCAACAATGCCACACTCATCCCTTAACTTTCCTGATCTCGCTGCTTTCACAAAGTCACAGGCCAATTATTTGGAAGAATGTCCTTCAATTTTGGGTTATCTGATATTTCCTCGGGGTTAGATGTGGATTCTGCATTTTTGGCAGGAATTCCAAAGAAGTGACCTGTGTTTGTCTCAGTGTGTCCGGAGGCACAAGGTATTGGCTAGGTCCCAAATTGGTATTAGCTGTGGTGATTTGATCAAGGTGGCATCTTCTGGGTTTCTCCGCTGTCCTCCGTGTACTATTTCCCTTTGTAATGAAGAAGTATCTTGCAGGGACATGCTTTGAGATGCTGTAATTCTCCTGTTTTTCTTCAAACTTCCACCCACTAGTTTAGCATCGTCTCGGTGATTCTTGCCTGAAGCAATGACTGTGATTATGGTGGTCAAATGATTTTCTTTTGCACGTGCAGCTGGGATTTTACTGTAAGGAAGCACTTTCCTTTCCCCCCCACATATTTATTTATACATTTCTTTATTTGTATCAGTATGAGACTCATGAATTCTTCTTTTAATTCACAGGTTAAAGTCAGTTGCTTTATTTATTCATAAAAAATAGCTTAGCCCTGCCGGTGTGGCTCAGTGGTTGACCGTTGACCTATGGTTTAATTCCCCATCAGGGCATATGCCAGGGTTGTGGGCTTGATTAGGAGGAAACCGATCAATGATTCTCTCTCATCACTGGTGCTCTCTCTCTCTCTCTCTCCATTCCTCTCTGAAATCAATAAAAATATATTAAAAAATAAAACTCATTTAATTGAGGTATAATTAACATACCATAAATTTCACCTGAGGTAGTTGTACAATATTCAGATTGTTCTAGATGTGGTCATGGGAGTCCCCTCAAGTTGGCTTTCATGTCCTTTTGGCATACCTTCATCCTTCACCATTTTTTTGAGCCAGTCTTCCCTTTAGATTACATCAGGGTGGTTCAGGCTCATCTTGTACTTTCCCAGTTCTGGTCCTGGAGTCGGCCATCTCCCCCAAGAAGCTTTGTTTCCTTTCAGTGAAGAATGGCATCCAGGAAACCAAGATCTGGCACTAGAAGTACTTACTGCCTCTGCGGTGTGGCTTGTTCCAGGCTCTCTCAGTGGACAGAGTTTGGGTATATGTGTAATCTCCTATATATGTACCATTTGTAGTGAAACCGTATACATATAGGTATGTAAATACATCCACACATCTATCTTATATGTATATCTACTTATATATAAAAACCCATGAATTCCTATTGATATCTATAATACCAATCCCATACTAGGGTGTTCATCATAGCTTTTAAAAAATATATATATTTTATTGATTTTTTACAGAGGGAAAGGGAGGGGGATAGAGAATTAGAAACATTGATGGGAGAGAAACATCGATCAGCTGCCTTCTGCACACCTCCCATAGGGGATGTGCTCAGAACCAAGGTACATGCCCTTGACTGGAATTGAACCCAGGACCTTTCAGTCCGCAGGCTGGTGCTCTATCCACTGAGCCAAACCAGTTAGAGCTCATCATAGCTTTTTCCTTTTTTGTATTCTCCAACAGTGAGAAACCTAATTCTCATTACCCACAAGGATTTTACTTATTTGTCAGTCCTAGGTTACACATTCAGTAGTTTCAGATTCATGCCCTAGCTGGTTTGGCTCAGTGAATAGAGCGTCAGCCTGTGGACTGAAGAGTCCTGGGTTTGATTCCAGTCAAGGACACATGCCTGGGTTGGGGGCTCAATCCCCAGTAGGGGGCATGCAGTAGGTAGCCGGTCAATGATTCTCATCATTGATGTTCCTCCTTGATGTTTCTCTCTTTCTCCCTCTCCCTTCCTCTCTGTAAAAAATCAATAAAATATATTTAAAAAAAATAGTTGCTGGTTTATCATTCCTTTGTTTCTTTTTGTAAAGATAAGCAAATATACATGTTTTCTGGTTAATCCTCACCG